CACGGTCCAGGACATTCCAGTTGGGACAAAGTGAACATTGGAACAAATGACGCTGCTGAAGACGTGTCACCTGAAAAAGTCACTGTCGAAGAAGAAACTCTACTCGGTTTTGAGAAGGGAAATAGTGAAGACCTTGATGAAGTTACTACCACTGATGTGACTATTACCAATGATAGAACGTTTCCTGATGAAGCAGATGAACCCCACTTGAAGCAGAAGCCAACGAGACGGAGACCAGTATGGAAGAAGATATGTCCCGTAAAATTAAGAGACTTTGTTGAATTTTAATTTTATGTTTGTAAATTCTGTGCATTTAATTAAGTTATTGTAATTGTTTATTGGTTTAATGTAAGTGGCTATTGTTCGAGACGAACAATACTAAGGAAGGGGCAGTGTTACGACAGCGGGGTCACGTGACGCTAGTAACACGTCATATTCTCGAACGTTCACGTCCCTTCCTGAAGTCTCGAGAGGCTACTAGATATGCGGTAGTCTTGTATATATAAGCCGTCAAGAAGTGACGGCAACAAGGTGAATTGACAGTTGAGTCGAGCACGTGAGACGTTTTTAGTGAATTATAGCGTTTGTTATAGCGCGACTGTGGAAATTAAGTGTATTGCAAAGTTGTATTCAGAAAGAATAAACCAGGTTTATTTAAGAAAGGACTTGTATCGCTAAAGTTTTTACGGAAAATTAACTAACGACCGGAGGCGTAACAGTATTTTAAAACTTATTTATGGTAGATGTGTGCTTCATTGTTTAGTATCTACATAAGAACGTTAAATTTCAAAGATCATATGACATGCTATTCTGCTTTAACACTAGTCTCCTAGTAACAAACTAATTCTAAGTGTTTAGATAAGTCAGTTCACTCGTGTTAATAATATCGGGCTGAAGTAAAACCTAACGCACTAGATCACTAGGTGATAGACAGTTAGTAGTCTATGGGAACTTGGCACGTTAGAGTGGTAGGAGCAGACAGTGGATAATATATCTTTTTAACAGCTTTTCAAAGCCGTACTAATAGATAATGTGCTTTACTTTACATAGAATATATATATATATATATATTTTTTTACCTTTGACACTTGAATTGAAAGAAAGGCAAAATTCTAAATACGTCAGCTTTATTTTGTGAGGGTTGTCTCACGGTACCTTTGCACAAAATATAATCTAAGTTGTTAGAATTATAGATTAATAGCAGTCCAACAACTCTAATCCTGCGAAGTATTTTTATCTCTGACCACAATAAATTGCAAGAAAGGCACGAACCCTAAATATGCCAGGGCTGTGGTATGGTATCATTATGTAAAGTTTAATTTATATTGGTCAAAAGATAAAGGAATTGTATGCCCAAACCTCTAATTTGGCAAAATATTTTGATCCTTGACCCTTTTAAAATCGCAAGAAAGGCATGCATTCTAGATTTGTCTGTTTCAGTTTATGGAGGCTATCGCAAGATATCGTTGTGTAAAGTCTCGTCTAATTCAATCGAAGTCTAAAGGAGTGGTAGGCCAAAATCTCTAATTTGTATTATTAATTTTTGCTTTGACCTCTGTAACATTGTAAGAGACGCACAAATATCGTATCAGTTTGCTTCAATATGTGGAGGTTGTCTTAAGATATCTTTGCACAAAACTCTCATCTGGATTGGTGGAAATGTAAAGAAAGAGTACGTCAAAAACTCTAACTTTGCTACTTGTTTTCACCTTTGACCATGTAAAATCAAAATAAAGGCACAGTTAAATCTCAAATCTATCTAATTTAGTCTGTGGGAGTTGTTGCAAGGTATTTTTCAGCCAGTTCTCGTTTGGATTGATGGAAATATAAGAGAACTTCAGGCCAATATATGGATATTTGCAATGTTTGACCTTTGACCTCTTAAAATTGAAAAAGGGCATAAATAAAAACAAAAGAAAAACATATATGGGCGTAGTGGCCCAAGGTATATACCCCAGAAGTTTCAAGACGATCATTCCAGAAATATAAGAGTGATGCTCAATTGTAATTGTTGAGAAGAAAGTTTTTTGTTGTTGTTAAGCACAAAGCTACACAATAAACTATTTTTATTGTGTCCACTAGGGATAGAAGAAAAATATATATAGGAAATACGATATATCTTCCTTCTTACTGAGGAAGACATAAATATCATAGAAAACCGTTACTTAGAAACAGCTATCGTTTGTTCATTTGTTTGTTTTTGAAACCCCCCAGTGGCACAGCGAAATGTCTGCGGACTTACAACACTAGAAACCGGGTTTCGATACCCGTGGTGGGTAGAACACAGATAATGTAGCTTTGTGCTTAACTTCAAACAAAACAAAAAACGAAATTGTTTTTGAATTTCGTGTAAAGCTACTCGAGGACTATCTATGCTAGCCGTCCTTAATTTAGCAATGATAGTGTTACGTCTCCGTTCGTTAGTTAATTTTCCGTAACTTCGTTCCGACGAAACTTTAGCGACACAAGTCCTTTCTTAAATAAAACTGGTTTATTCTTTCTGAATATAACTTTGCGATACACTTAATTTCAACAGTCGCGCTATAACAAACGCATAAATTTTCAACGAACGTCTCACGTGCTCAACTTCAACAATACTCAGTTCAATTACACACTCTCTGACTGCAGTTCAATTACTCATTGCCCTGTCACGTTGTGACCGTCTTATATATACAAGACTAACACATAACTAGTAAACGCTAGG